TTTGGAGCCGGGTCCCTGTGCTGAGAACCTCCTAGACTCAGGGGAAGATTGATGTTGAAACACATGGAGTTCTCTAAGGGACGCTGGGCCCACATAAGCTGAAAGGAGACAAGGATCTTCCTCCAAACCTGGCACAGAGAGAAGCCTTCCCGTAGATCTATTCCTTGAATTTGAACTCCCAGTTTCCAAAACTTAGAAAATAAATGTCTGTTGGTCAATGCCATCCACTTGTGGAATTTCTGTTAGAGCAGCACTAGATACTAAGATACCATCTCTGCTCTCCAAAGCAGCCTTCCAGGGACCCAAGCTTCCTAAACTCTTGGACCCCAACATATCAGAAGTGCCCATCATGACAGTTAACAATGGTCCTGGGCTGTGCAAAGTCAGGGTCTATAGGAACAATACAGCCCACTCAGTCATCACAGTCACTGGGGGCCATTCCAAGGTCGAGGCCATCATTCTGGGCATAGGGCAGGAGGTTCGTCCCAGACAAGACACACTGTACTCAACAGCCCCACTAACCATGGCCACAGGGTCTCTCCTAGGTCAGCTCCAGTTGGAGGCATATCTGCCTGCATGGGCTGGGTGGGTGCTGAGGCCCAAGTTCAAGTAGACATGTTACAGGAGGTATCCCTCAACCATCTGTGGAGCTAGGAGGAGCTAACAGAGCTGTTGTCCAGGACTTCCAGGGGCTATCCACAAGGGTGGCCATTGAGGTCATGCTGGCTTGCTGTACTACAGCCCCAGCTTTGTTGCAGACAGGCCTGGGCTCACAGCCACCATCCCTATCTGCCAGGGTTGCTGCATGTCCCATGGCACCTCCCAGCTCTCAGCAGTAAGGGACATCATGGAGAACGTCTCCCAGCTCCTCGTGAGCAGTGAATACTCGATTGTTAGCATGGCCCACTGGAATCCCACTAGGTGACAAGCACCCCCTGGAACTACACACGGTCTGACAGGGATCATCACTGAAGTGGACACCCAACTCCTCTGGGCCCCTTCTCCTGGCCATGGAGCCCACAAACTGACCTTTGACAGGAAGTGTGACCTCGATGCAGATGATACAACCTAGCTTGTGGAAAGCAAAGAGGACTTAAAATATTGATGAAGATCAAAGACCACAGCCTTCGGTATAGGTTGCACATCAATGTCAAGAAAACAAAAATCCTCACCACTGGACCAATAAACAACATTCAGATAAATGGAGTAAAAATTGAAGTTGTCAAAGACTTCATTTTGCTCCAATCAACCATCAACACTCATGGAATCAGCAATCAAGAAATCGAATGATATATTACATTAGGCAAATCTCCTGCACAAGACCTCTTTAAAGTGTTAAAGAGCAAAGATGCCAGCTTGAGGAGTAAGGTGTGTTTGACCCAAGCCATGGCATTTTCAGTAGCCTCATATGCATGTGAAAGTTATATAATGAATAAAGAAGACCAAAGAAGAATTGATGCATTTGAGTTATGGTGCTGGAGGGGAATAATAATGGTACCATGGGCTGCCAGAAGAACAAACAAATCTGTGTTGGAAGAAGTACAGCCAGAATGCTCCTTGGAAACCAGGATGGCCAGACTTTGTCTCTCATACTTTGGACATAGCATTAGGATGGACCAGTCCCTGGAGAAGAACACATGCTTGGTAAAGTGGAGGGTCAGCAAAAAAGAGGAAGACCTCCGATAATATTAATTGGCACAGTAGCAGCAGCAGTGGCATCTAATGTAGTAACGGGTGGTGAAGTTGGCCCAGGACTGGGCAGTGTTTCGTTCACTGAGTCGGTACCAACTTGACGGCACCTAACAACAACAATGACCTCGACATCCCACTGGAATCTCCTGCTCTCAGCGGTGCCTCCCTACACCAGGACGTACAGAGTATGAAGGTGGCCAGGCACCCCACTCCCCAGAGAGTGGCCAGGTGCAGGTTCTATGGGTGGATCCAGGCCCCCAATGTTATCTCCCCCTGTAGTCAGCTGTGGAGGACCCTGGAAGCTTCATCCACTGTCTAGAGGTATCCAGGGTCAGTGAAATACCAGTCCAACAGGGGCCTTCGGGCTGTGGCTGTCTAATGCTGCCACGGCTAGACATGGTTCACTGAGAAATAAAAGACACATTCATCAACAAATATCTGACTCAGTTTCCCTGTGGGGTGCCTTTGAGGAAAATCTAACCAAAATCAGAACCATAGCCATCGAGTTGATTCCAACTCAGAGCAGCCACTGATAATAGCAAGATTTTACAGACTTCCCACCCAGGGCTGAGTCCCTACTGGTGCTCACAAAACTACACATCAGATCACATGCCTATGCCATATTCATCACATCTGTGCATGCCTGAAACACACATCTGTACCATGTGTGTATAGACACAATTTACCACATGTCTATGCCACACGTTGGTACATGTATATACACAGAAACCCACAATCTAGATCACATATCTATGCTACATGTTTTATCTGTACATGTCTGCAACACACATCTATACCACATGTATGTCCCAAGTTGATACCATACATCTATGCCACACATCACATCTGTACACATCTGTATCACACCCCTGTACCACATTATACACAGAAAGGCACATATTTATATCACATGTGTCTATATCACACACCTTTATCACACACCTGTGCTATATGTATGCTTCATGTCTATGTCACATGTTTATGCCACACATCACATGCCTGTATACACCTGTGCCACATCTGTACCACATGTCTATACACATAATCACATGTTTATACCACACATCTATGCCACACACCATATCCATACAATGGCACCACATGTATGTTCCATGTGCATACCACATATCTATACCATACATCACATATCTGTACATATCTGTACAACACACATGTACTATATGTCTAGACACATAATCACATGTTTATACCACATGTCTATGCCATACACCATATCCACATATCTGTACCACATGTATGTTTCATATCTATATACCACATGCCTATACCACACATCACATGTTTTACACATCAGTACCACACATCTGTACCACATGTCTATACACATAATCACATGTTTATATCACACACCTATGACACACACCATATCCACACACCTGCAGTACATGTATGTTCCATGTCTATGCTATATGCCTATGACATACATCTTATCACACATCTGTGTATGTCTGCACTGTAGGTATACACACACAATCACATGTCTATGCCATGTCTTCACCACAGTAACACATGCATGTCCCATGTCTATGCCACACATCCATCTCATCATGTCTGTGCATGCCTGTATTACACACTGGTACCTCACGTCTATGCGACATGTCTTACTACAAGTCTATACCACACAACTGCACTACACACTTGTATACACAACTGTACTATACACCTCTTGTTGTTGTTAAGTGCCGTCGAGTCAGTTCTGACCCATAGCGACCCTGTATAGGGTTTCTGAGGAGCAGCTGGTGAGCTTGAACCGACGACCTTGCAGTTCAAACAGCTTTGCAGTCTGGCACATTAACCCACAGCGTCACACCAGGATACATCTCTACCACTTGTTTATTCCACACCTGTATCAAGTCTATGCTATGTGTCCATACCTCATCTGCACCATGTGTCTGTACCACACATGTGCACACAACTGTAACACACGCCTATACTACATTCTATCGTGTGCCCCATGAGGGAGGGACACCTTGTTAATGCCCATAGGTGGTTTGGAAGGGCAGTTTTGAGAGAGTGCCCCAGGTAGGGGGATGTCAGTTGCTCTGGAGGGAAGAGACGAGGGCGGGATCTTCTCAAAGAACTTTCTGGATGAGGAAGGAATTAGACTAGAAGGTGGTGTTGAACATGACAGGAGGGGGAGGAACCATTCAGATAAAGCACTGTGCTTCCCAAGACCACCTCCACCCTCCTTGAGAATCAAATAGGCTGGTTCCCAGGATGCATTCCTTCTGTTTATAGGCCCAGGGTCTGACTGTTCTGTGTACAGTAGTGGGGCATCTCTGAGATCCTGGAGCCAGCGGCCCCAGACCAGCCTCTCTTGGGAAAACTGCCCCACACGACCTGGTCCTTTCTGAACACACTGCTGTGGACCAGGTCTAACATGACTATATGGTCAGATCACAGACAGGCTCAACTGGGGCTGCCCGTGTGGAAACCACAGTGCCACTTGGACCCTGGGACACTGAACCTTGCTCTGTATCAGCATGCGGAGGTCACTCACTGAGAGGAAGAGGGCTCCCTTACCTCCAGCTTGAGCAGAGACAGGTGCTTATGGGCAGAGAGCAAGCAGTGCGGAGGCCTTTGCTGAGTGTTGTTCAGTGGGACTGAACAGAGGCAGAGCACTGAGGCAGAAAAGGGAGGAACCTCCAAAGGCTTCCTAGAAGAGTATGGCTCCAAGGACAGGGGCCTACATTCAAAAAGGACGTTGTGAGTGTCTGCTATTACTCGTGAACATTAGCACGCCAGCCTGGACCTGTGAGGGTTCCTAGTTCCTCCCGTTAGGACAGGTCAGTGTTTCTGTCACACCACAAACAGAGACTCAGCTGGCCAGAGGAGCCAGTTCTCTGGGGCAGGACTGCACTGGACTTCCTTGCTGGACCCTAAGGTCAAGTTTCTGCTTGTGGCCCAGGACTCATAAAGATGCCCCTGGGTTGGTTTGCTTTCCTCTGTTCTGGCCAAGCAGGGGGAGCTGGTGGCTCAGAGGCCCCGCCCCTGAAAGCCCCTCTGAGGCTCACTGGGAACAATTGTTGCCTTGGCTGGATTGTTACATAAGGGGCAGTCATCCTTGAAAAGGCCTCAGCAGGCCCCCCAGCTGAAAGGGGGACAGATATGTGGGTGGAGGGTAGGGGTTGTCGGGGACTGGGGACAGCCTGCTAGCCCTTCTGGGAGACACCCCGAGAACTGTGGAATCCTGTGCCCCTAAAGCTTCCAGAGGACTCTGTGTCACAGAGTAGCCCAAGAGTAAGCTGCTTTTATTTTGGTGACCTTCTGAGAAGGATGCTCTAGCCATGTTGAATCCGCACGTGTTAGATTCTCCTGCGGTGATTTTTGACAATGGGTCAGGGCTCTGCAAGGCTGGCCTCTCGGGCGAGATTGGACCCCGCCATGTCATCAGCTCCATCATAGGACATCCGAAACTCAAGACTGCTTCAGCCGGAGCCAACCAGAAGAAGTACTTTGTTGGGGAGGAAGCGCTATACAAGTATGAGACCTTACAGTTGCACTACCCCATTGAGCGCGGCCTAGTCACAAACTGGGACGACATGGAGAAGCTCTGGCAGCACCTTTTCGAGTGGGAGCTGGGTGTGAAACCCAACGAGCGACCTGTGCTCATGACTGAGCCCTCCTTGAACCCCCGGGAGAACCGCGAGAAGATGGCAGAGGTCATGTTTGAGACCTTCAATGTGCCTGCTTTCTACCTATCAGACCAGGCGGTGCTAGCGCTCTATGCCTCTGCCTGTGTCACTGGCCTGGTGGTAGACAGTGGGGATGGAATCACTTGTACCGTTCCCATCTTCGAGGGCTATTCCCTGCCACATGCTGTCACCAAGCTCTATGTGGCAGGAAGGGACATCACGGAGCACCTCAGCCGGCTCCTCCTGGCCAGTGGCCACACCTTCCCCTGCACACTGTACAAGACCCTGGTGAACGACATCAAAGAGAAGCTGTGCTACGTGGCCTTGGAGCCGGATAAGGAGCAGTGCAGGATGCTGGAGGGAGTCCTGAAAGAGTACAAGCTGCCTGATGGGAACATTATCCACCTCGGGAATCAGATCTTCCAGGCACCTGAGGCCCTCTTTGTGCCAGACCAGATGGGCATCCACAGCCCAGGGCTTCCCAAAATGGTCTCCAGCAGTATCATGAAGTGTGATGTCGATATCCAGAAGACCCTCTTTGGGGAGATTGTGCTGTCCGGGGGCACCACACTGTTCCCGGGGCTTGACGACAGGCTCCTGAGAGAGCTGGAGCAGCTGGCTTCCAAAGGGGTCCCCATCAAGATCACAGCACCCCCTGACCGGTGGTTCTCCACGTGGATTGGTGCCTCCATCGTCACCTCGCTTAGCAGCTTTAAGCAGATGTGGGTCACCATGGCAGATTTCAAGGAGTTTGGGACATCTGTGGTTCAGAGGAGGTGTTTTTAGGGATCAGCCCTAGGAGACAACGTTGGTGTTGTCTACAGCCACCAGGGGGATGTAGAATTGCCTGTTGGTTTCATCAGGATGTTCAATAAAAGAAAAATTGATGGGAATACTTGGTCAAGTAGGGGTTTGGTTTATTCTTGCTGGCACCAGAATTTAATTCTGACCCTGGCAGTGAATCTTTTCTAGAGATTCTATGTCTCCCACCCTATTCCATGCCCCTTTGTATATTGCCTTTTCCTAGAAAGTCCACTGTTGAGTAGATCTTTGTAGTAAGGCAGGTGCCTGGGTCTTGGTTCAGTAGGGGTTCTGGAATCTGCATTTTAAACAGTGTTTAAAGTAATTCTGAGGGATCCAGTGCCCAGGAGACAGAGTCAGCAGGGAGGACGGAAAAGAGCTGAAGAAAAGGAGCTTAAAGTAAGGTGCTGCCCTGTCCTTAGGACCCAGTAAACCTCAGCTGGAACAAAATTCTTCCTCTGCTGTTACAAGACCAGGTAGCTAAACAAGACCAACCCAATCTCTTGTCTTTGGTAGACACAGTGGGACAATTTCAGGAGTCACTAATGAGGGACTCTGGTCCCAGGTGGCATGTGAAAAATCAATACCTCTTACTTGACTTTTCGGTTAGTTTTTACCTTCAAGGATGTTTCTAGCATCATTGTTTTATAGGTAAAATATTAGAGACCTAGTTAACAGCCACCAAGAAAGTATCCGTTGAATAAGTTATACCTAAAGAGACTTTTTCCATATTGTTGGGTAGAATTTTCCCAAAATACTATCGGGAAAGAAATGGAAAATACAGAGAAGTCTTTATAAAATGACCCTCCTAAAACAAATGTAAGCTAATCAATGACACTTTCCCATGTAAATGTATGTTATGTGTATTTGTAGGTATATCTGTAAGTGAGTATGTGTTTGTATATGGTTGTATGCACATGGGCAAAGTATGAATGGATAGACAAGCTTGTGGGGGAAAGAGAATGAGGTAATGTGGATGAAAGGGAAGGGAGGAAAAGGAAGGAAAAAAAAAAAAAAGAAAGGTCTAGACTAAAAGATCCATCTTAAGTGAAATAACTTCATTTTTCTAAGGTTGAGTTTATGTGTATGTGTGTTTGATGTTTATATGGGATAGTTTCCCACTTGTCCACCTTAAATATACCAACATTACTATGTTTAAAGTGTATGATGTAGTTGAAGACAGCATGTAGTTGGGTTGCATTTTTTTGTTGCTGTTTTTTAAATCCACTCTACCAATCCTTGTCTTTTAATTGGCATATTTAAACCACTTAAACTTAAGGAGTTCTGGTGTGGTGCTGTGGGCTAATGCGTCAGACTGCAAAGTCGTTTGAACTGCAAGGTCAGTGGTTCAAGCTCACCAGTCGCGCCTTGGAAACCCTATACAGGGTTGCTATGGGTCGGAATTGACTTCACGGCACCTAACGACAACAATGAACTTAAGGTAATTATTGATATGCATGTCTTAAGTTCAACGTGTTATTGTTTTCTGTTTCTCCATTCTCTGTTTCTCATTCTTTAGTTTCCTGTGGGTGACTTGAACATGTTTTAGGATTCCATCTTAATCTATGTATAGTGCTTTTGAGTGTATTGTTTTGCAGTTTTCCTAGTGATTGATCTAGACATTACATTGTGCATCTGAAAGTTACCACAGTCTACTACTTTTGACATTTTACCACTTCAAGTAAACGTGGAAATCTTATTTCTATCTAGGTCCCTTGACCTTCTGAACATTTTAAACATATTTCTTTTAATTAATTTCATACACTATAATTACTACATTACATAGTGTTATAATTTCTGCTTCAACTATCAAACATGATTTAGGAAGCAGAGGAGAAAGCTACACAAATCTATTTTCTCCATTTCTTGTAACCATCCTGACCTGTTGTCTTTCCTGAGGTTGCAACCCTCTTTGTAGTAGAAAACTTCGCTTAGCTACTCTTTAAGGGTAGGTTTGCTAGAAACAAATTCTCTTCATTTTCCTCCATCTGATAATGTTTTTATTACTCCTTCATCCCTGAAGGATATTTTCATTAAATGTAAGAATTGGGCAGTTAGCAGCCATTCCCTTAAAGCATTTGAAGTATGTTGTGCCAATTCCTCTGGCCTCCATAGTTTCAGATGAGAAATTCTCTGTCATTCAACCGACGCCCCACTGTAAGTAATACATCATTTCCCTCTGGCTGATTTAAGATCTCTTGTCTTCAGTTTTCAAATCTTTGATTATGATGTGTCTTGATGTGGATTCTTTGAGTTTATCCTATTTGGGATTTGTTCAGCCTTTTAAATCTGTTGATTTATGGACTTTGCCTAATCTGGAATTTTTTTTTTAAATGATTATTTTTTTCAAATAATCTTTCAGTCCCACTCTGTTCTCTCCTTCTTCAGCTCCAATGATACAAATTTTAGCTCTTCTGTAGCTTTCCCATTTAGTTTTCAGATTCTATTCATTTTTAGTGTATTTTCTCTGTTCAAATTGAGTACATTCTATTGATCTGTCCCACCCTATTCTGTTCTGTTTGGTATTGGTCTGTTTACTGACCTCTGCTATCTATAATTTACTGTTGAGTCTAGCCAGTGTGTTTTTGGAATTCCAGTTGTACATACTTTTTTCATCTAAAATTTCCATTTGACTCTTGTTTATAACTCCAATTTCTTTTGCTGAGATTTTCTCGTTTTTCATTTGTTCATGAGAATTCATAATTACTTGTTGAAGGATTTTTATTATGACTGTTTTAAAACCCAAATCAAATCATTTCAACCTCTGAATCATTTTAGTGTTAACATGCGTTGGTGATCTTTGCTCAATAAAGTTTTAATTTTCCTGATTCTTGATAGGATGGGTAATTTTCTGTGTTATCTTGGTCATTATATTATGCAACTTTAAATCCTGGCTAATCTTTTTGCTTTTAAAAAAAGTGCAGTCCCCCTATTGAGATGTAATGTGAAGCCTGGGTAATGTTGGGCCTATTGACATCTCAGTGAAAGTGGAACACTGACCCACTGCCTCCCTCTCAGTGGTGGTCTAAGTTTAGCTTCCCACTGGACAGACCCCTCTCCCACTGAGGAAGAAGGAATCAAAATGTTGAACCCCCTGCCTCCTATCAACTTTACCTAGCTGGTGCTGGGTGGAGCTAAAGGTTCCAGTTCCCAGGTTTGGGGTGAAACAGCACTGACTAGACTCAACTCACATCTTTTGTTCAGTTTTATTGCAACTGGGTGGGAATTGGGGCTGAACTCTCTGCTGGAGATTTGTCTGATTCTACTGAGGAGGAAATAGAAGATCAGCTTCCTATTCTGTCCTGCTGACCCCACAGAGTAGGGTAATTGGAGCATCAACACCAGTTTACATAGGGAAGGTCTGATGTAGGGGTAGAGAAGGGGTAGTATTGGATCTGGATCAACTCTCCAGTCTACCCAATAAAACCGGTAAGATAGGTGTGGTTTGTTCATTGTTGTTTTTCTGGAATAGGGAGAATATTGTCTTTGATTAGACCATCTTTTTCCTGTTGGAAAATCGTTCATCTTGGAGACTTTCTTGACTATCTGTTGGAGATTCCAAGTTGGAGGTTTCTGTCTGCAGTGTCATGCCTTGGATATATGGAGACAATGAGGAAGGCCAAAGAACTCACTACCATGTTGGTCCTCAAGTCCTGAGGTCTTCTTTCCATATTTCATAGACTTGCTGTGTTGTTGTGTTATGTTCAGGGATTTATAGTTGTAAGTGGAAGGATTTGGAAGGAATGGGGCTCTGATTAATGTTGTAATTTCTTTTCATGGTCCTTGAAAGATACAAGGAAACTTAGGACTACTGCCACCACCCACAATGACCTGGCCTTCAGGATCAATCAGTTTTAGAGGCCAAATGTCAAGGCTCAGCATCTATGGTTTTCCAAAGTCCTACAAGGCCATGAGAGCAGAGTTCAGCTCACATTCCCAGTCCAAAAGGACAAAGAGTCCTTTCCTCTCTGTAAACATCTACACCTTTCTCCAGCAGAGAGACTGTCCTCATGTTACTAAACTACATCTCAAAATTATAACTAAAACAAAGCTCCTTGTTTTGCTCTGCTTTTGTCTATTCAAGATAGGCTGACTGCTTCTCCTTGAATAGTGGTTGCTGCTATGGTGGTGATATTGATGGTGGTGATGATGACAATGATTATGGTAGTGGTGATGGGACAATGGTGGTAGGTATAGTGGTGATGATACTCATGTCATAATGGTAATGGTGATGGGCGATGGTGATGGTGGTGATGATGGTGGTGATGTTGGTGGTGGTGATGGTGGTAGTAGTGATGGTGTTGATGATGATGGTGGTGGTAGTAATGGTGATGATGATGATAGTGGTGATAGTGACGATGATAGCGAAGGTGGCAGTGGTTTTCTGACCTCTAGGATTTCTTCACAAGGAGCTCTGGTAGCATAGTGGTTATAAATCGGGCTACAAACCACAAGGTCAGCAGTTTGAAACTACCAGCTGTTCTGCGGAAGAAAGATGAGGCTTTCTGCTCCCGTAAAGATTTACAGCCTCGGAAACCCTGTACAGGGTTACTATGAGTCGGGACTGACTCCACAGCACATAACAACAACAACAACAACAAAGGATTTCTTCAAGGAACCGGGGTAGCATAGTGGATTCCAAGTTGGACTGTTAACTGCAAGGTCAGCAGTTTGTTTCTACCAGCTTCACAGCAGGAAAAAGATGAGGCTTTCTGCTCCCGAAAAGATTTGCAGCTTCAGAAACCCTGTATAGGGTCTCTTTGAGTTAGAACTGACTCCACAGCACATAACAACCACCAACTACCAGATTTTCTTCAATACAACTTCCTTCTTGGGCACTACACGGAGAAAGGCACTCCCCAAGTAGAGTCTTTAACAGGAGCTTTGTAATCAAGCTGGCTTCTAATTCTAGCCTTCTCAAAGGGGTGGAGGTAGGTCCAGGTGGGGTCAAGTAAGCTTGGCTGCAACCAGTGAGGGAGCAAGAG